CCCAGGTCCTATTCCCGGGATAATGCTCATTCCACCCAGGTCCTATCCTGGGATAAAGTGCATTCCACCCAGGTCCTATTCCTGGGATAATGCTCATTCCTACCCCAGGACCTATTCCTGGGATAATGCTCATTCCACCCCGGTCCTATTCCCGGGATAATGCTCATTCCCAGCCAGGTCTTATCCTGGGATAATGCTCATTCCACCCAGGTCCTGTTCCCAGGATAATGCTCATTCCACCCCAGGTCCTATTCCCGGGATAACACTCATTCCACCCAGGTCCTATTGCCAGGATAACGCTCATTCCACCCAGGTCCTATTCCCAGGATAATGCTCATTCCTACCCCAGGACCTATTCCCAGGAAAATGCTCATTCCCCCCCAGCTCCTATTCCCAGGATAATGCTCATTCCCACCCACGTCCTATTCCCGGGATAATGCTCATTCCATCCAGGTCCTATTCCCGGGATACTGCTCATTCCTACCCCAGGACCTATTCCCGGGATAATGTCCACTGACTGTGTTTAATAAGGAGCGCTCCCTCACGCCTTTGATGGTAAAGCTTCATGTGAAAATTAATAGTATACACGCTGCTTTAATTGTGGAAAGAAAAAGCTGAAATAGCATAAAAGGATATAGATGATGACCAGATAGCTTAGATGAAATGGACAAATTCCTAGAAAGACACAAACCGTTGAAATGGACTCAATAAGAAATAGAAAATCTGAATAGATCTATAACCATTAAGAGATTGAAAGAGTAGTAGGAAAACTTCCCACAAAGAAAAGCCCAGCATCACTTGGCTTCCCTAGTGAATTCTACCAAATGTTTAAAGAATTAACACCAATCCTTCAAAGACTCTTCCAGAAACATAAAAGGAGGGAACACTTCCTAACTCATTCTACGAGGCCAGCTTTATTCTGATACAAGACAAAAGCCGACAAAACATCACAGAAAACCATGCACCGATATCCCTTATGAAAATAGCTGCGAAAATCTTCAGCAAAATACTAGCAAACGAGTCCATCACCGTAGAAAAGGATTCTACACCATGACCAAGTGGGGTTTATCCCCAGACTGCAAGGATGGTTCAACACATGAAAATCAGTGGATGTGATACAGCACATTAATAGAACACAGGATGAAACTACACGGTCACCTCAACAGATCCCACAAAGCATCTGACAACATCTAACACATTTTCATGCTAAAACTAGTCAACTTAGGAACAGAAGGGAACTCCTTAACCTGATAAAGAGCATTTACAAAAAACCCCACAGATAATATCTTACTTAAAATGGTGAAATACTAAAAGTTTTTCCCTAAGATCAGGAACAAGATAAGAATGTCTGCTCTCACCTCTTCTACTCAACATTGTGCTGGAAGTTCTAGCCAGAGCAATTAGGAAAGAAAAGAATAAAAGGCATTTTATTTTTAGTTTAGAAAGGAAGAAGGAGAACACTCTCCATTTGCAGATGACGCAATCCTTTAAGTAGAAGAGCCTAAGGAATGTGCGCGCACACACACGCGTGCACACACACAATCTGCACTAAGTTCAGTGAAGTTCCCGGATACGAGACCTATATACAAAACGCAAGTATATTTCTATACACTAGCAATGAATAATTCAAAAATGAAATTAACAGTTTCATTTACAACAGCATCAAAAAACTGCTCAGGAATAAATTTAACGAAGAGTGAAAGCCTGTTTTATACACTGAAAATTACAAACATCCTTGAAAGAAATGAAAGACCTAAATAAATGGAAGGACATCCCTTTTTCATGGACTGAGAGACTGAATATTGTTAAGATGGCAATACTCTCCAATTAATCTACAAATTCAACATAATTCCTATCAAAATCCCAGCTGCCTTTTTTTTTTTTTTTTGCAGAAAATGATAAACTGATCCTAAAATCCATATGGAAATGTAGAGGAGGACCCAGAATAGCCAAAACAACTTTCAAAAAGAACAAAGTTGGAGGACTCACACTTCCCTATTTCAAAACTGACTACACAGCTACCGTCTTCACAACTGTGTGGTGCTGGCAGGAGGACAGATGTGAAGATCAGAGGACAGAACTAAGAGTCCAAAACAAACCCACACATTTGTGACCAACTGATTTCTAACAAGGGTGACAAGACAATGTGATGGCGAGAGAAGTCTCTTCAACAAATGGTGCTGGGACAACTGGACATGCACATGCAGAAGAACAGAACTGCCCCCTTACATCACGCCATCTACAAAAATTAAGGCAAAGTGGATCAAGACCTAAATATAGGAGTTCAAACTATAAAACTCTGAAGGAAACACAGGGGTAAGTCTTCATGACCTTGAATTAGGCAATAGTTTCTTAGATATGACACCAAAAGCATGAAGAACCAAAGAGAAAAACAGATAAGTTGGACTTAATCAAAATTTAAGTTTGTGCTTCAAAAGATACTATCAAGAAAGTGAGGGCCGGTCCGCAGCGTAGCAGTTAAGTTCATGGGTTCCGCTTCAGCGGCCCACAGTTCGCCAGTTTGGATCCTGGGTGTGGACCTACTCACCGCTCATCAAGTCATGCTGAGGTGGCGTCCCACATAGAAGAACTAGAAGGACCTACTACTGGTATATACAACTACGTGCTGGGGCTTTGGGGAGAAAAAGGAAAATGAGGATGATTGGCAACAGATGTTAGCACAGGGCCAATCCGCAAAAAAAAAAAAGAAAGTGAAAAGATGACCTGCAGAACAAGAGAAAACATTTGCAAATCACATATCTGATAAGAGTCCAGTACCCAGAATACATAAAGCATTCTTACAACTCAACAATAAAAAGACAACCCAATTTTAAAAAATGGGCATAGGACCTGAATAGACATTTCTTTGAGGAAGATATACAAATGGTCAATAAGCATATGAAAAGATGTCCAACATCATTAATTAGTCACCAGGAAAATGCAAATCAAATCCACAATAACATACCCCACACCCACTACCATGGCTATAATAAAAAAGACATAATAACAATGGTCAGGGAGACTGTGGAGAAACTGGAAACTCAGGCACTGCTGGTGGGAAGGTAAAGGTGCAGCTGCCGTGGAAAACAGCCTGGTGGTTCCTCAAAAGGTTAAACACAGAGTCACCATGTGACCCAGCAATTCCACTGCTAGGTCTACACCCAAGAGAACTGAAAACACGTCCACACAGAACCTTGTACACAAACGCTCACAGCAGCACTCTTCATAACAGCCAAAAAGTGGAAACAACCCAACTGCCCATCAATATACAATGGAATATTATTTGGCCATAAAAAGAAATGAAGTCCCACACGCTACAATGTGGACGAACCCTGAAAACGTCACGCTGAGTGAAGGAAGCCAGTCACAAAGGCCACATAGCGCATGGTCCCATTTATATAAAGCGTCTGGACAGGCAAATGCACAGAGACAGAAAGTGGATGAGTGGTGGCAGGGGCTGGGGCTGTGGGATGGCGAGGGGGTGACTGCTAATGGAGCAAGGTTTATTTCTGGGAGGATGAAGGTTCAGGAAGTGGATAGTGGTGACTGTCACACAACTTTGTAAACATGCTAGAAACACTGACTTGTACACTTTAAAAGGGTGAATTTTATGGCGTATGAATTATATCTCAATAATGCTGTTAGAACCACTGTATATATGACAAATGCCAAGATCAGAACCCGAGACAGGAGCTGAAGCTGAAGGAGACTGCTCTAGCGAGCAGACTGTACGCAGACAACAACGAGAACACTTGGAATGACTCCATAGAACACGCACACGTCGGGCGAGATCACGTGACTCATTTTACACTTTTCTGTATTTTCTGAATTTCTTAAAAAGAAAGGCAAGATTATTTTCATAGTCAGAGAAAAAGCTAGTTCCACCTTGAGGAAAAATTTTTAGGGGAAAAATATATGTAACTATAGAATTATAATTTTATACTCAATACGAAAGGTTATTTATAAAGAAAACACTAAAAAAGTTTTATGAATGGAATCATTAATTTTGTTTTCCGAAAACATTTTCAATCCCTAATTGTACCACTGAGGGAAAACAACAATTAAACTTGTAGTGTGTTCCCTTTTAGGCTTTCCACTCTGGGAAACAAACTACAAAGTCTGTACCATCGCGTTTGCACACAAACACGAGTGCTCACGTGCTTCTAGCGCCTGCTGTCCTCACCACCCTGTCCTTAGGTTTCTTCTGGAACAGTGTCTCCTTGCTGGGCACTCACAGGTGTGGACGTTACCCGGCCTCTCCTCCCACCATCTTCCCTGACCTGCAATTCCTCCTTCCTCAGGGACCTCTTTTATCCTGAGAGTCTGGAACTCACACTTTCTAGAACGCTCCTGCTCCTGCTCCCTGGGGTCCACCTGCTCCCACAGGCCTGCAGTGGCCG